TGACGAATACTTCTATAACTTGTGGATAATATATAGGGAAAATGACAACAAAATACCACCTGAATTTCAAAAAGACAAATAAGGCACCTGAATAAGCAAAATGACATATAAGGGACTGGGTACTAATCTGGAATTCAGATTTTTGGCCAAAAGACCAAAATGCCCTGTCTGAAAGTGAGAGAAAGGAGAGAGGAAGGAGAGAGGAAGACGTTGATGAAATACGGGAAGGAGAGAGGAGGAAGACGCTGATGAAATCGGGAAGAAGAGAGGAAGGAGAGAGGAAGACACTAATTTTCGATGGGTTCCCACAGTTTAAAATGTTATTGCCTAGCATTTCTCTAAAAAATTTTGGTTCTGTCTCTGTTCTTCGCATAAAACCATTTTCAGAGAATGTGAAGCTGTAGGAAAGATGAAGCGAAAATAAGAAAACAATGGCAAGCAATTACGTAACGTAACTGCTGTCATATGCCTGCCGGTTTTTGGTAAATCTCATTATGTGAGTGGTAAATTTCACTATACATGTAGTTAATTATGAATTTTACAAAATACATATTGTGATTTACAACTTTTGTAGTGAAAATGACTACTTTGTTAATGGGTTTTGCAACCTGTTTTCAGGAGATAAACAACTTGTTTGTAAAAACTAATAAAATTTCACGCTAAATTTGACAAAACGTATAGTGGGATTTACAACTTTCATAGTAAAAATGACCACTTATTCAATGGGTTTTGCAACTTGTTTTCAGGGGATGGGCAGCTTGTTTCTAAAAACTAATAAAATTTCATACTAAATTTGACAAAACACATAGTGAGATTTACAACTTTCGTAGTGAAAATGATCACTTCTTCAATAGGTTTTGTAACATGTTTTCAAAGGATTGGCAACTTGTTTCTAAAAACCAATAAAATTCTTTGCTGAATTTTACAAAACATAGAGTGATATTTACAACTTTTATAGTGAAAATTACCACTTCTTAAATGAATTTTGCAACTTCTTTTCAGGGGATGAATAACTTGTTTCTAAAAATCAATAAAATTTCACGCTGAATTTGACAAAACACATAGTGAGATTTACAACTTTCATAGTGAAAATGATCACTTCTTCAATGGGTTTTGCAACATGTTTTCAAGGGATTGGCAACTTGTTTATAAAAACCAATAAAATTCGATGCTGAATTTTACAAAACATGTAGTGAGATTTACAACTTTTTTAGTGAAAATGATCACTTCTTAAATGGGTTTTGCAACCTCTTTTCAGGGGATGAGCAACTTATTTCTAAAAACCAATAAAATTTCACACTGAATTTTACAAAACACACAGTGAGATTTACGACTTTTATAGTGAAAAGTTGCCAATCCCTTGAAAACATGTTACAAAACCCATTGAAGAAGTGATCATTTTCACTACGAAAGTTGTAAATCTCACTATGTGTTTTGTCAAATTTAGTATGAAATTTTATTAGTTTTTAGAAACAAGCTGCCCATCCCCTGAAAACAAGTTGCAAAACCCATTGAATAAGTGGTCATTTTTACTATGAAAGTTGTAAATCCCACTATACGTTTTGTCAAATTTAACGTGAAATTTTATTAGTTTTTACAAACAAGTTGTTTATCTCCTGAAAACAGGTTGCAAAACCCATTAACAAAGTAGTCACTTTCACTACAAAAGTTGTAAATCACAATATGTATTTTGTAAAATTCATAATTAACTACATGTATAGTGAAATTTACCACTCACATAATGAGATTTACCAAAAACCAGCAGGCATATGACAGCAGTTACGTTACGTAATTGCTTGCCATTGTTTTCTTATTTTCGCTTCATCTTTCCCACAGGTTCATCTTTCCCACAGCTTCACATTCTCTGAAAATGGTTTTATGCGAAGAACAGAGACAGAACCAAAATTTTTTAGAGAAATGCTAGGCAATAATATTTTAAGCTGTGGGAACCCATCGAAAATTAGTGTCTTCCTCTCTCTTTCCTCTCTTCTTCCCGATTTCATCAGCGTCTTCCTCCTCTCTCCTTCCTGTATTTCATCAACGTCTTCCTCTCTCCTTCCTCTCTCCTTTCTCTCACTTTCAGATAGGGCATTTTGGTCTTTTGGCCAAAAATCTGAATTCCAGATTGGTACCCAGTCCCTTATATGTCATTTTGCTTATTTAGGTGCCTTATTTGTCTTTTTGGAATTCAAGTGGTATTTTATTGTCATTTTCCCTAATATATATTACATTCAGTTCTAAATATTAAAATTTTATTTAATAGTACAATCAGTACTGCAATGTGAATAGTATATTGAACTGAATCATGAGTTTGTGTTGATAAACATGATATCAATTGTTTTGCATTGTTGAACTTTATATGATGCCAATTGCTTTTGCATAAATATTCTAAGATAAAAATGCCACAACATATTCATCTCTATAAAGTTAGAAGTCAACGTTAGTATATACTACCTTCAGTCCTTAATATAAGACCCTATTTGATTTTTATTTTGGTCCTAAATATAAAACCCCAATCCACTTTATTTCTCACATTTATACATTTTTTTTCTAAAGTAACCCTTCTAATAATAAGAGTTCTAGTCAATACATTTGATTAGCAAGGATATTTTAGGAAAGACAACACCTATTTAGGACAAATAACTAACTTAACTTATTTTCTTAATTTTCTCAAATTAGTCAACTGGCTCTTATAATTAGGACCGGAAGTAGTACTAGTTTCTGTTATTTAAGGAGTAACATGGTAACAATTGTATATTTGAATGGCAATATTGCTTCATAGTTTAAAATACTTAGCAGCTTCAAGGCAAAAAAAAAAAAAAAACTTAGTAGCTCTTGCGATAGTGGAAGGACAATAATATTCTTTAAAAAAAAATTGTAACATTAAGCCTATGTCACGACAAGGTCAAAAATAAAAAGAAAAAAGAAAGAAGCCTAGGTAACAAGATGCATTTCTTTTTCTGTCTTTCCCTTTTATTTTTTCCCATCCCCGAAACAAAAGGCTCCGTTCCCAATCACAATTTTCAGATGTGGACATGGAATAATAATAGCCGCCAATCACAATTTTGCTTCCTTTGTTTGTTTTTTTTTGTGTGGGGCAAATGTTGATAGATATAGAAACTGTTTGAAATAACTTATAAGTAACTTATAAATTATTTTTTTAACAATGATTTACAAAATATAAGATAAGTATATAAAAAGAATTTTGTCTCGATTTATATAAAACGCGCTTATAAGAAATTTCTACCGTAATCCAAACAGGCACATAATTTATCAGCTATCAATGTCAACCCTATCTTTAGAAGATAAATACCATCTTTGTATGTGTGTGTCTTTATGAAGAAGATAACTATTACTATCAATATAAAATTCCAGAACATTGTTTTGTTTATTTCTCAAAAAATAACATTTCATCCCCAAACATATTAATAACGCATAATGAACGCTGGGTATATTACTTGGAGAAAAAGTTTAATGTACCACTTTCAAAAAAAAATAAGAAAATTTATTTTGCATGTAACTACATTTCTCTTTAATTTTTATTTTGGTGCTCATACATTAACCGTTAGCTCAGATTAATGTTGCTAAAAGAACAAAATTATAGAAGTTAACCATGCTAGTAGAGTAAAGTTAAAATATTTAATTAAAAAACATATAAATGCTGAATTGAAAATTAAGAAAAAAATATAAATACTTATAAAATGATTTTTAGAAAAAAAGAAGAAGATAATTATAAGTCATGAGTGATTTTAATGATAGGCATCTCCTTAACGCATCTACACTTTTTACAATTTTTTTTGAAAATCCAACCTACTTCGGTAAAGACGGATATTAGAAAATTCCTTGACAAAATTACAATTGATGGTGAAAGGAAAATGGAACAAATATAAGTAAATACTGACAAGCAGCGCAAATGTAAACAAAATCAAGATGTGATGGCCAGTCCTTGTTATTAAGGGTTAAGTCAGTAAATAATTATGGTATTTTCGTCAAAATAACTTGATTAATTAATTAACTAATGTCTAAGTTTTCGGTGATTATTGCACCTTTTTCTATCCTTTGAGCCATCATGTCTCACATCATATGCTCCATGTGCCATTACAGTGGGACAATGCACTCCATGTTCCCCCAGCTAGCATTCTGAATCTGAATTTCTCCTAATTGAGATTGAAATTTAAAAAGAAAAATTAACGCTTTGAATTTTTTTGAATTTTCAAAATTTTTAAGGCTGAAAAATATTCAAATGCATTTTCCTTTGATGATTCTTTTTTAAATTAGGTATAATTAGAATGAAAATGAATTTTCAATCTTAAGGTCTAAATTGTTAATTAAGAAAGAAAATTAATATTCAGATTTTTTTAAAACCAGAATTTAATATTTGGATCTGAACCATCTAAATTTCTAGATTTAAATCAGTTAAAAGAATTCAAAATATTTTTTACCTTAATATTTATAGTTTTCACTCTGGAGAAAATTTGAATTATCCTCCTAATTAGTGTCCGTGTTTGTCTTTCTCTTGTATCTAGATTAAAAAATGAAACAAAAATGATAGTAAATAGATTTACTTTGTAAGAGAATGGTTGATGCTCAATATCTACAGAGAAGTGGATTCATATTGTTTTTTGGTGCTCAAAGTAGCTGACTCAAATATATTTTTAGAGATTTGAGTTTGTATTCTTCTTCTTAGAAAATGAGATTACTTGCTATTTGAACTAATATTTTGTTAGTATGGATTCATATCTTTTTATCAATATGAAGATCTTGTTATTCAAAAATCTTTAATTTTAAATTACAATAAAAATAAAACTTATTAATTTTATCTATAAATAATTATTTTAAAAAAAGAAAATAATAATTAAGGAAGCCCCACCTCTGAGCTTGACCCCATAGAGTCCCAAGGTCCCCCTCTGCTCATGACATTTGCCCCACCTTTATCCGCCAACCATCCCTCTCCTGTTAACTTTTCATATAATAATAAATCTCTCTTCTGAGCATTTATTTTTTCGGTCATTAGAGATAACTCTCCTCCATCTTCTTCTGCCTTCCAGAATTTCCTTCTCCTCTCTCCTCTTCATCATCTTCCATCTTCTCTCCCTAACTACCAAATACTTATACATCCCACACAATACAGACATACAAATTCATATTCCAATTGAGAATTCCGACTTTATTCCTACCAAAATTTCATCTTTGTCTTGTTGGGTTACCTCAAATCCCAGAACCCAGAATTCTGAATTCTGAACTTCCCCCTCTCTCTCTGAACTTATATATTCGTCTTGGGCCTTCATAAACGGGAAAGAGATTTTCAAATCCGAATACCCTTTTGGATCAAAGTTGGAAAGATCTGAGCTTTTTTGTTGTTGGAAAGATCCGAGAAAACAGAAACAAAAATGCTCCAGCTGTTCTTCACAGTGGCTTTCTCTGCGGTTCCTCTGACTCTGTATGTTCCTCCAGTGAGGAGCCTAACCACGTTCGTGGAAGTCATGGAAGAGATTCTGAGAGAATCAAGAATTTACTCCAATAGGATGTACCCACGTGTCCGCATAGCTTGGTCAAGACTCATGGATTGTATGCTCTGCACAAACACCAGGTAGATTCATCAACAGGGTTTTGATGCAGAGATCTTGATTCCTGTACATAGTTTTTTTTTTTTTCCCCACGTTAATTCCTGTTGTTAATTCATCGTTTCTGGGATATTCTGGTCTTGTTTCAATTTTTGCTTCCTCCGTCGAGTAATCTTCTATCTTGAGTGTTTCCTCTTCAATGTTCATATGAGCCATTGGACGGAATAATACAATGTTCTGACTATAATCAGAAAGGAATCGTTTTTCTGCTGATGAATGAAATCTGGGTTGGTTGGTTTGTTCCTGAATTTGCAGTTTCATTTGGCTCTCCCTTCTTTTCCTTGTTTGGTCAACTGAGAATTTTTAGTCAACTGAGAATTTTCTTTCATTTGGCGAAAGAGTTTGGGTTTCTAATGAGATAGTTTGGTGAAGTATGTGATAATTAATTAATTATGGAGTAAAAACAACTTTTGAGAAGTGTGAATGAGTTCAAGGTTAAGGATATTGTTGGGTGCGAGCCGCCATAATGGACGGTGTCAAATTGTGTGAACATTTAATTGAATTGAATAGTTCCGTGAATCCTCACGGGACTTGTGGGAGAAGAAGTTCTATTGATAACTATTTACGTTTGCGGAAACAAAAAGTACTACTCCACTACTTAATATACTTAATATAGGACTTAATTCTTAAGTTAGTTTTGATTCTAAATATAAGACTTATTTTTTATATTTATTAATTTTCTCTAAATTACCTCTATGGATACTCCCTCAACCATAATCAAGTAGAAGAGGGAGATAGGGTATTAAGAAAGATGATTATGGTGTTTTAGGAAAAATGTGTCACTTTTATTAAAATTAACTAATTTACCTAACTTTCTTAATCTAATCAAATTAATTAAATGGGTCTTATATTAAGGACAAGAGAAATATAACTATTTGAATAATATATTGCGAGGTAAGTATTGAATGTTATTGAAGGGATTGGAAAAGTCTAGAAGGTTTGAGCCATGACAAATCAAGGTCAAAAGAGGTTTGGAAAAAAAAAATTAGGAGAGTAGAAAAATTACTTCAAACTATTTATATTTATTATTATTTAGATTAATTTGATTCATTTATAAATTTGGAAAAAATTATGTGATATACTATAATTAAGTAATTACCCGCAAAACTGAAGTGGCAACAAGAACAAGTCAAGGAAAAGTTAACCTTGCGAAAGTAATACGTATGTATATGTATATAGATGTCAAAATATAAATTTAAATGAATTTTTATATTTTAAAAATATAATTATTGTCCTTTTTAATGATTTAGTAATGGTGACATTTTGTGATAATTTTGGTTGTTTTAAAAATAAGTTTAGCTTTTTATTATTTTAATTTTAAATTTGAAGTTTGATAAAATTGGAAAACCAAGTTCTCTTCTAATTTACATGATAAAAACATGTTTTTATGTAATTAAAGCTTTAAGTAAAATCAAAACATTTTAATCGATAGTTTTACATATATTCTTTTTTTTTTCTAAGGAAAATTATGAATATATAATTTTTAATAATTTAATAATGTTATGACGATTGTATTTTTATAACTAATTATATGATAAACATAATTGCATATTATGATACTACTATATACCGTTGGGGACAAGCCTCCTTGACAGAATTACTGAGATTTAGTTCCGATCTCATGAGATCTTATCAAATAAAACTATTATCACAATCTCCAACTATAAGAGCCACGTTAGAATCTCAATTTCATGACACCAGAACTAAACTCAAATCATCAGAGTAGAAAAACTACTCTTCGTGAATCATGATCAAATTTGTTTTTGATGCACATGATCCTCTATGAGTGGCAGGTGTAGGGTATAGTTGTTCTGGAGATACAGACAAAATATTATAGAATTAAACTTTTAGGAAGAAAAAAAAAATTTAGAAGGAATTCATAAAGAACAAACGGGTACCATTATGTAGCTTCGAACTTTTAACTTTTTTTTTTTTTTTACCAGCGAATTTTTTAACTTGTTTGGTACGATGATGCAGGCTGAATCAAATTAGGTACAAATAGAAAAAGAAAAATTGTTGATCTGATCTCTTGACTCGGAACAAAATCAAAAGGTCGGTTTTTGGTTGCTTGGAGGACAAGCTCGTCATATATGGCAGTTTCTCTTCTCTTTTAGGGTAGCGTGACTGACGCCTAACCATTTTTTTAAATAATTTTTTCTATTAAATTATTAAAAAAAATCGTAATTTTAAAAGTAATCTTATGATATATATAAAATAAATATGTGAAAAAAAAATTTTATTTCAATTACTGTGAAAATATTTTTTTTAAATACTTTTAGGTTGCCAAACACCCCTTAAAACTGTTTATCAATTTTTGTTTTAAAAATAATATTTATTTTTAAAATTCATTTATTACTATTATCATTGATCAACAATTAAAAATTTATTTCTTTTGGTTCCACAACACTTAAGAAATTAAAACTACAATTTACTTAGTATTTGTTTACGGAGTTATTTTCCTGTGAGAAGATGATATAGACTTTATGTCCATTTTCTTGCAGAGTACTTGCTCTTTTATTTCTTAACATTATTTTGCCTTATTATAAAAAAAGAGACATCATGTCCATTTTCTTTTTTATTTTTTATATAAAATTGAATACAAAAAAATGGTACTCCTCCGGTCCTTAATATAAGACCCATTTAACTAATTTAATTAGATTAAGGAAGTTAGGTAAGTTAGTTAATTATAAGAAATGTGAAACATTTTTCCTAAAACACCATAGGAGGTGTTTGGATAGAAACCAAACAATGGTTTCAGAAGTGCTTTTATGGATTACGAAGTAAATATGTGGAGGAGGTTACCTCATTTTGCGGAAAAGTGCTTCTGAAATCACGGTTTTGATGATGCCAAACACCATTATAGTCATCTTTCTTAATACCCCCTCTCTCTCTTTTACTTGATTATGGTTGAGGGAATATCTATAGGATTAATTTAGAAAAAATTGATAAATATTAGAAATGGGTCTTATATTTAAGACCAAAACCAGCTTAATAATTGAGTCCTATATTAAATACAGGAGGAGTATATTCAAATTCTGCTGCATTACTAGCCAGTGAGAACGCAGTTTTGTGTTCTACGGAAGAACATTACAAAACGACAAGACAGCCCACGGGATTAGTTGGGAAAGTAAGAATGTGGTGTTTCTGTTGTGCGGGCCATTCCTCAATGAGACTTCAAACCTGCAAGCATTGGATGCTTCCATTTACCTCTTTGTTGTCAGTATCCTATTAGCACTTCATTTGAAAACTTGTCTCTTTTTAAGACATAATTACTTATAAATATTTTTACATAAATTAAAATAAAATTATTTTCAAGAAAATGTTAACAGAAAGATAAGGTGGAGTCAACTGTATAAATCATATCTTATTGAGCTTTATAAATAACCAATTTTGAATAAATTGTCAATTAAGAAGTCCGGCTCAATAGTATCATGGATTGTTGGGAGAATTGTAATAAAGTTTCAGGAAAAAAAATAATTATTAAAAAATCTCAACAACTGAATAGATTATAATGATAAGTTTTAGAGTAAGAAATAACAACTTTTTATTTGTTATTGACACTTTTAGTAGTTATTTTTCTTACTTGGGATTTTGAAGTAATTCTCCTTTGATTATTTTCTTTGCTTTATTTTTTAATTCTTTTTTAACGCATCCAATGACCTACGTGTCAAAATCACTTTAAATGATTTTTCACCATATTTTTAATAGAAATTATTCCAATTCTTTTAAATCATCACAAATCAGCTAACGCCATAAAAGATCAAGATCATATTACATTGCTCCATCAAAATGCGTCACAACACTTGAATTTGTTGAGCTTGTGCATATCCCAGATTTACTCACTTGTCACTTACTCTCCTCGGTGTTTATTACTCTTCCGGTCTTAAATATAAATATAAGATTTATTTTATAGTGTGTACTATAAAATAAGTCTTATATTCAGGACAAGAAGGGTATAACTTTCACATAGTTAATTTGTGAATAAAAAAATTAGTTATGACAATAAATAGGAAAAAGATATATTTTTGTTTTTAAATGTCCTTACAATAGATAAGACAAGGATGAAAGAAAATATATGTGAAAATAAAATAAGAGAGAATAAATAATTAAGAAAAAATTAAAAAAATGCATTAAATATTGGACAAACTAAAATTAAAACTTATAAAATAAATCATACTTCTTTCTAAATTGGAAACTTATAAATAGAGTGGGAGACAATATTTCCCTTGCCACGAGAGATCCCGAGAGAGATTGTCTAGGGCATAATCTTTTTCCAAGAATCAATTGTTTTGTTGGAAGGTTAGGTCTAATAACAAAAAATACAAACCATCTTTTTTCAAAAATTAAGATTCAAATCCTCGTTGAGTGAGGTACTCATATTTAGAGTATGGTAGTGTCTTGAATAAGACTGCCTTTAATAAGAAAATACCTATACTTAGGAAAAAAAATTGTTTGGCTGCAAAACATTGAAAACTGAATTAACCAAGAGATCCGCATGATCGAAGATATAAGATGTTTTTAGCAATACACTAAAATCAATATCTTGTTTGTCAACTGATTAATTTATCATTAATTATATACTGACGCTGCGATTGATTATTAAAAAGAGGCCTCTAAGATAACAACGATGTTGGTACCTAGTAACGAGATGCTTTCTCGTGCGTTCAAAAAGTTTAAAAACAAATGTTTCATATTTGCAGCAAAAAGTGCATTTTTACTAATTAATAAATGCATTTCTTGCTAAGCTTATTAGGTAAATCCAATCTCAAAAACCATAACCTCGTAGGGGAAGGGACCACACACTCACTTTCGATTCTTTTACATGCATATATGAGAGAAGGTATGGAGTGTTACTAAACTAAGGTTCTTAGCGTAGTAAATAACTTTGGATTCTTTTACATACATATATAACTATAGCCTCCGTATAAAGTGACGGATGGATTATTTTATTGAGTCCTATTTTTACGATGGAAAATCACAAAAATAAATCTTAAAAATTGAAAAATTATATACAGGGACCTGTTCACAAAAATTGTTATCATTTGTTTATTAGTTATTGTCAAAACCAATATTAATATTATAACAGATTTTTTTGATTTTTAAGGTCTTTTTGTATAATTTTTCTTTAGGAAATTTTCACAAACAAAAACAACTTTGCCTATATGCTCCGAACATTAATGCGAGACCAATCTTATTTCAAAAGGGCATGTCAAAGTCATCTTTTACTCACTATAGTGGTGAGGTCTGT